CATACATACATACATACATACATACATACATACATACATACATACATACATATATATATATATAAAGTCTCCTATTCTTATGCACGCAGCCACAACAGGATGGTTCATATCAGAGCTCTTTCTTGTGGGCTTGTATAACTCTACAACTTCTTTCATTGACAAACACTGCTGAGCTTGGCCTGTGTGATGGGCTGACCTGGCCACATGGAGCTTACCATCCAACCCAGTGGGGAAGATGGATGCTAAATGACACCGGTGTCAGACACTGCCTATGGAAAGTGCCCATGTGCTGTGAATTCATGTTGCTCTTGGAGGCTACCAACTAAAAGTCTCCAGAGCGGAGGTTTACCGTTAGTGGTTTTCTGGTGAGACCCACACGTTTACACAATTGTTCGCCTGCATGGTTGCCTTGTGATCAGCCAAGGGTTTTCCTTTTACAGATGATGGCTGCCAAGGACACTGTAGGGAGGTGGTACAGTGACATTCTCGCTCCTTGATTTCTGACAGGAAGCCTGATTGTGACAAATGATCTTGTGTCCTCAGTCCTCTTCACAGTTGTCCCATCAGCAGGAGATGGTCCCTTTTCACTGAGCATGAGCCCAAAAGAGAGGGAGAAGAACAGTCAGGCAGCCCAGCTGCAGCTCCTAGAGCAGACAGCAGCGTGGGCCAGAAAAACAGTTCTAACCACTGTTCTCCGCCCACCACTTCTGCTGTCAAAAGCAAATGCAACAAAGCGGCTGGGGCTTCTCATGTTTGCACGTGTTCCCACACCCTTGTTTTCTTTGAAATGCAATCAGGGCCACTGTCCCACACAGCTTCAATCATTAAAACAGAGGAGGTCATTTTTATTTTTAAAAAGATTCCTAAAAAGTCAACTTCCAAATCCTGTAGAGAGACTCAAACAAAATGCTCAACATTCACAAGCTGTGGTTGAGCTATACCTAAGAATGGACTTTCATGAACAGCCTTAGCATTTTTGGAAAAGGTGCTTAGTCTGTTTTTGCCTAACCTTTCTTTGGAGGATGAAGCTGGCTGAGTGGAGGGCATAGATGCCCACTCAGCACCATCGGTGGCAATCCTTTGGACCGAGTTGCATTGCAGCCTTCTTGTGGCCACACCTGGTTCTTTTTACTCATGCACCTTAGGTCCCTTCCTTCATTTTCTTCCTTCTTTGCCTTTGTCCCAGCTGCTCAGTAAAGCACTGGTTTCTGACGTACCACTTGTCCAATCTAACTGACCAAGCAAACCACAGAGAAAAAACCCGACTAGCAGCTGCTCCAGATTAATGGGCGAATGGAGTCGTCGTCCTCCCTGCCCCGGTAACGAGAGCTCTTGTCTGCAGGGGATCTGTAGCCACAGTGATCATTTTAAAGCTGGATATCAGCAGAAAAGCTAATGAGACCACTTAACGTGTGTGGCAATGCGGCATGTCTGTAAAATTAACAACCCTTTGATAGCTGAGCTGCAAACACCCTCCCGAGGTCAATCTGGAAGTCACCAAGCAGGCTGCCTCTGCAGGGCAGAGTGCCAGTAGAGAGTGGGAAGTCACCCAGATGAGGGGATGGCCCAGCTGCACCCTAGAATTAATACTGTGTTAAATTAGCCCCCATGTAAATGCTGTTGTTTGACAGCTTGCCCGAATGTTTGTGGGAGCAACCACAGCCTGGACCATTTAGGGTTCCACCTTGGGACTAATTCCCCCAACTGGTTAGTCAGTGGCAAACGGTCGTGACAACATCACCACCTTCACAGCCTTCATAGCAAATGCAGCATCCTAGTGCATGGCTTGCACCGTGCTCCGAGCTAAACTAGCACAGGCCTTGCCTTGTCTGGTCCACTAACATCACTATAAAGTGGGTATGGGGTGTCGCTATGTAACGGGGACAGACACTGGAGACAGGCTTGCCAGGCCCGGAGGACACTGAAAGTTCCATCTGAAGCTGTCTGATGTAACAGGTGCGCTCTCGATTTCCAACTTGAAGACCTGGGTGGACCTCCCTCATGAGGCGGGCTTTGATGCTCTGCAGTGAATAACAGCAAAAGCCCGGGACTGTTTGAAACTGACAGATCAGTGTCAGCTCTTCTGGTGGCTAGGTTAGAGGTACCTGCATTTCAGAGGAAGGATTGGGCTCCACCCCTAACCCTACTACTAGCAACAGAACATAGGGGCCAAGGAGGAAGGCTTTGATTGATACATAGGCAAGGTTAGGACACAGTCTTCCAAAATGGAGTTCTCCACCTAAGACTTCTTTCTACTCATCATCCTGCACTTTCTGATTTAGTCTGAAGCTGGGCAAGGCATCTGTGACCTTCCCCTAATAGACAGGAGTGGTGGAAATTTGAAGCTGTCCAAAGTGGCTACCTTACACAATCATGGCTCACGACATCCTTCCCAGGGACTCCTGAGGGATACCAGGGGCTGCTGCCTACACAGTGTTTCCCAGGGCACCTTGGAACAAAGTCCTTACATACACTCACTGTCTCATGTTGCACAAAACATTGAAGCTGCCACTACCAGCTAAGAACTGAGGGCCCATCAGATGCCATCAGAAATACAGCCAAGAAGCCCACGCCTTCCTTTTCAGAGGGGTGGAAAGTGAGGCAATCAGTTGACAAAGAAGGAAAGCCTATGACCAGAAGCAAACCCGACTCCCAGTCCCGGCTTAGGAGAGAGAGGCAGAATGAAGAAGGGGAACCATCATCAGCGACTGAGGCTGTTGTCTGCTTTCACAAACACGTTCCTTTGGCTGACCTTCAGGCCAGCTGGGAAATCACACCACACAGAGAGCACACAGACAGGCCATGCTATCACTGCTGCTCTGTCCACTGCCTGCTCTAAGGCCAGGCACAGACCCCTGGGGCTGCTGCTGTTGCACAAGGAAACACCAGATAAATCCAGCCTGGCTGGGGGGTCAGAAATGGGGCCAGCTAGGAAGAAATCTCAAAACATCTTGGCAGCCCAAGGGATGAACTCTGTTCCGGACCATGAGTCCTAGTTACAGCAGTGCCACTTTACTCTCTGCCAGTGAGAACAAAAGGCCAGCCCCACTCTAACTGGGGGGTGTGGTACAGAGGAGGCTCAGCATACCAGTCCCAGGACGTTGTTCTCCCGGGAACATACGACACCACAGACCCTGCAGACCCTGCAGACTACAGAAAGCGGTTATTTGGTTTTAGGCTACACTTCTCTTTTGGCAACAAACCACATCCTCTTCACCAACTCCACCACCCTGCAGAATCCAGCCTAAACTCAGGTCATCGTCTGTTTCCAGCCATGCTGCACAAAGGGGCTATTGAATCACTCGCTGCTCTCTGACCTCCTGTCCTGCTAGCCATGGCTTTGGACCATTCACTTTGCCAGATCCACCCACATCCCTATTTCCTCTTAGCCAGAAGCATCTCGATCAAAAGCCAGATCAAATATCTCCAGCATGGTACTGTCGTTCATTGGTGTGGCCACAAGCTATTAATAAAATGTATGAACAGTCTCCCTCATATAATTCCTACATACTAGAATAAATGGTATGTGCATTTTCTCTCTTTTTTCACTATTGCAAATTATTTGTGTTTGTGGTCTAGTTCGACTACCACTCTGCATTCTTCCCATCAGCTAGACCAGTGTGATAGTTTGAACAGGAATGGTCCCAAAGACTCATGTGTTTAAATGCTTGGCTATAGGGAGTGACACTATTAGGAGGTGTGGCCTTATTGGAAAAGATATAGCTTTGCCGGAGGAAGTGTATCACTCCGGGGGCAGGGTTTGAGGTCTTAAGCCACACCCAGTGTGGCACACAGTCTCCTTCTGCTGCCTTCCCATCAAAATGTAGAACTCTCAGCTTCTTCTCCAGTACCTTGTCTGCTTACAGCCTGCCATGCTTCTTGCCATGAAGATAATGAAACTGTAAGCCACCCCCAATTAAATAGTGTCCTTTATGAGAGTTGCCATGGTCATGGTGCCATTTCACAGCAATAGAAACCCTAAAACAACCAGTACATAGTACCCATTTTTCCTCACTGCTATAGTCTATTCATTTCCCACCCATTAAACGGGGTGCTTCTGTACCGCCTCTGAATGATGTTTCTCTAATTCTCTTCCTGGTCTCATGGCCTCCGCAGATGGCAGCACGTTGGAAAGAGCATGCTAGATTACTCTGGGGGAGCAGGTCACCTGTGGGAGTAAGGTTGGAAAGTCAGGTCCACAGAGCTGTACAGCATATTCTTGTAGACTTGGGATGAGAATGTCTGGGCTTGCTAAGATGCTTAGACTGGCCTCAAACTCAGGATCCTCCTGCCTCAGCCTCCTGAGTGCTGAGATTTACAGGAGTGTTCCTACAGGTAAGCTTGACTAAATACAGTTTTTCATATAAGCTGTGTCCTGTAGATTGTTCCCAAGAAGACAGGAGCTGGGAGACCAGTTGACCTGGCTGTCCTAAACAACCCAGGTAAAATTCAAATATAATATTCAGTTACAGCTATGTAGAAGCATAGAACAGGGTAAGAAAACAACAAATACAATGACACTTGATAGAGATTAAAGCACAAGAGGGAAGGGATCACTAGGTGTGTCCTACTTATTAGTACCCAACCCCCTGCTTCTCCTGAAAGAACTCTGCATTATCCTCTTATGAGAAACTGCCTCTAACATTCATAGGCCCAGTGGCTTGAGTGAAGCAAATCCTTCCAACTTGGCCAACCACAATCACGTATATGCCAAGGACTGATTTAGAGTAGGATGTTCCCTGAGCCTGGTCAACAGAGGCCTCCCTAAGATGTTGTTAATGGCCTCAACAGGGAGAATCTTGGAG